GATGAAATGAAAGAAAGATTAGTGAGTTGGATAAATATGCTAGAAAGGCACGGACTAAAAGTAAATAGAGAAAAGACGGAGTATATGGTGATAGGAGGAGATGAAACAGAGAGTATTGATATAAATGAATGGCATATATCGGCAATTTAACGCTGCTATTTGGGCCCCACTATACAAACAAACGGCACAATAGAAAAAGAGACAGAGTAAAATTAATCAAGGGTGGTTAAAGTGGAGATCTTTATCTGGAGTGCTATTTGACAAAAGAATCCCACACAAATTAAAGGGAAAAATTTACAGTTCCATAGTACAACCATATTCTATATAGTTCGGAAACATGGCCAACCAATGAATCAGACGAGAGAAGTCTACAAACTATGGAGATGAGAATGCTGAGGATGATTGCTGGGGTAACAAGAAGTGCGCAGTACAAGAATACTAAGTAGTTTAAAGGCAGTAGTTTAAAGGTAGTGCCCATTAAGACTAAGTTAATGGTAAACTGACTTAGGTGGTATGGGCACACAATGAGAAGGCCTATGAACTACAAAAGAAATAAGGTTGAGAGTTTGGAAGTGATGGGCATACGCAAAAGAGGAAGGCCAAAACTTCAATGGGGCCATAAAGTTAGAGCCAATATAAAGAAGTATAAATTAGATAAAAGAGATTGTATGAATAACATAAAGTGGAGAGAGATGTTGAAGGAGCTTACCACCAGAAAAGGTGAAAGCTAAAGAGAAAAAAATAATTAAATAAATTGTATTTTAGATTTTTTCAATGGAAATTATTTTTAAAATAAAAAAAATTATATATCATAAAAATAATCAAAAACAATAAAAAAAAATATCGGAGTGCTAAAAATATCGGCCCGTTATATTTTTTGAAAAACTAAATATCTGTGCCCTCCGATATGTTTTGAAAACGCTAAATATCGGTGCCGATCTGATATTTAATTTATTATCGGTATAACCCAAATTATAACCCTCAGTTTTACCTGTCTCCTAAAAAGATACTCTAAATATAAGTTACATTCAAAGTTTCGTTGACATAGTTCAATAATTTTGTCACGTCATTTAATTATGTATCCACTCAATTGTCTAATTATGAAATACTAGCTAATAACCCGTCAAGAATGATTTGGGGGGGGGGGGATAATTAGTTAGTTTTACTCCCTACTTTTATGATAGTTGTTACCTGTTATTTGAAAATAATATCTTGTTACTCTTTATAACCCCCTCCTCCCTTCAGACCAGGTCCCCAGGTCTGCAAAAAAATTTGTTTTAGGTCAATGTCTGATCTATAGTTGATAATAGAATTCCCAAGCGTCCAAGTTGATAATAATTTTGAAAAATTTTCCCTAAGCTTAGTCCAATATAATTCATAAAAATATTTTCCAAGCCCAGCCCCACCCATAATAATTTTAAAAAAATTTTCTCAAACCTGGCCAACGCGTAATAATTATATTTTTTTCAAGTCGATAGGTAAATCTCTAAAAACCATATTCATTTTTTATTCTTAATACCGCTCAATCCTACTTCAGACCAAGACCAACTTATTGGGACCAATAGTGAATACTATTTTTCGAGTAAAAATATATTTAAATTAGCTTTTACCTGAGACCCGTATAAATATTATGCCTAATATCTAATGTATAAAAATTCCCAACAAGTTCATGCTCATAATCATGTTGAGAAAATTTTCTCAAGCCCGCCAAAGACCATAATAATTTTGGTAGTTAAGAACTGAAATAAAATATGTAAAGTCATAATTCATTTAAAAATAAAACCAGAATATGAAAGTTGCATGAGCCTTGGTTTTTTGATCAGGCCTAGCTATGTCTGCAAAAAAAAAATTTCAGGCCAATGTCTAACCCATATTTAAAATTCAAAAATCTTCTAGCATCTCTATTTTAAATTTTATCCAATATGATTTCCATTACAAATTTAAATTTTGATATTTCTAATACTCTTAATACTCACTGTATTGCAACAATTTTACCTCTTTTTCTCCTAAATTTTAATATTTTTATAAAATTTATTAATAAAATATATTTAGTACCATACAACAAACTAAATAATTACCCTTCAACACCGTCAGCTAGTTATGGTAATAAACGGCAAAATTTTAAAAATATAAGCTATTAATTAATATATATATAATCAATATTTTAAATTTAATTATATTCAAGTTGGTGCATGCGTAAAGCATACGTCTTTGAAACGGGAGGTTTGTGGTTCGACTTTCGTAGATAGCCAAAATTAACATTACATTATATAGTCTCATTAAATTTTAAATACATTAGGGAGATACGAAAACGATCGTGTTTTGATTATGGAGATTATATATATTAGATATATAAATTATGTTTTATAACATGTGTCATAAACGCAGAAAAAACCACATAAGGATATAAGTAAACTTTAATTCTTTTTTATAAATCTACTGTTCTTTTTTTTATAAATTAGCCCTTTAAAAATTCTATATAACGGATAAGAATGGCAGATGTCAAGTGTCAACCAGCAGAGGAAACTAACTATAAAATCCTTTTATTTAAGACTTAAACTTCTGAAAATTTTGTATTTATTTTGTTTTCCAAGTGCTTTTAAAAATATGTTTTTCAAGAAAGCGTCAAACATTTTTTTCTTCTTGACACTTATTTTGTGCTTTCTTTAAAAAATCATATCCTTTCCTTGGACGACTAACTTTTCTTTTGGATAAATCTTGGATCTTGCAAATAGTAATATAAAAATTAGGCCTAGTGCAGGTCTGAGTTTTTAAAGTAACTAAACTAGATAAAATAATGTTCTAACTGTAATCTATATACAGTTTAAGCAGTATCATTATTTATTTATAGAAACATTTAGATATAATTTATTTGCACCATTTTATTATAAATAAATTTATTAAATATCTGTCTTTCCAATTGAAGACAAGTTTTATTTTACACAATGGATGACAAAAATATGGCAAATTACATTAATTAATTTTAATTATTATAAATTTGAATGAGTGATATTGACAAAAAAAGAATACAGAAGAAACAATCAACAAAGCATCAGCATTTTCAAACTTGATTGGGTTGGTTGAATTTGGTTTCATTTGCTAAAAAATAAAAGAAAAAAGGAATTGACACAGTGTTTAGTTGATGAACTTTCAAAGTTTCCAAATGCTACTAAAGAGAAAATCACAGATAAAAAAGAATATGAATAAGGATATAAATTTCAACACTGATCAAACTGTGAATGATAAAATGAATCCCATGATTTTAATATATTTAAAGAGCATCCTAATATAAAAGTGTTATTCATAAAATATAACAATACATTACCTTACAGCTAAAAGATTTTGTTAGTAGCTACAAAAATGTGTTTACAGACAATATAGCAATCAAAACTTTAAGAATCTTTCATTTTCAAACCATCAAAAAATTAAATTCACAAACCTTTGAAACTTTAATGAAGATAAAGAAATAGCTATTATAAATATAAAACATGTCCAAAATATATTTCTATAAAATTTTAAATATTTAGTATAAGATTTGATTAAAATTTTTAAATTTGCAAAAGTTTTGAAACTTTTCTAATTTTTATAAAATGGTTTAACAGAGCTTAATAGAAACTATTAATACTTTTATATAATCATTTAATCATATTTTATTTATAAATAAAAACAAAATTCATAAAAAAATGCTTGTCTCACTTCACAATTTGAGTTTTAACAAAAGATTTTCAATTTTGACATTATGAACACCTTGCATGGTTATAATAAAAATTTATATCTGTATCTAGTTCTAGCCATGTATCCTTTTCATGCCATTAGCTGTAGTTATATATATTTCAAAGTATCTTTTTTACAATTCTGCTTTAATCTCATGTAATAATGATTTTCATAAAAATTACAGATACCATATATTTTTTTCCCATTTTAGATGCTATTTTGGGAGATTTAGAATAGGAGATATGTGAAATTAAATTTCATTTAATCTTGTTCTTAGTAAAATAATATAGAATTTTTGACCTCTTAATTTTTATTAATCCAATAAATATGACAAAAAAAAATAGTAAATTATATCATAATAAATGTTTCTAATATTGAACTTAAATTTTTTTATATTATATAACTATAATAAACTTTAGAATATATTTTTTAGTAAGTTTATTTTCTATTATTTTAATTTATATTTGGTTATTGTTGCATTTATGCAACATGCTTAATACTGGAATTTGAATTGTTTTTTATCAAAGATCAGAGGACACTCTTGGGGCCAATCCCTTTTAACTGATACCAACAAACAATGCCCAAAATAATAGTTAACCCTCATAATTATTTATTTTAAATTGACCTACATTAAGTCATAAATTGATAAGATATTGACCTAAAAATTAAATAGACAAGAAACTATTGTTAATTTTTCCCTATATTTTTATATTAATTTTATTTTGGAATTAACTATATTAAAGTAAAAACCTTTCATTAAATATTTGTATCAGTATTGGGGTATCAGTTGAATACTGTATTGGCAAACAAAGTGTTACCCTTGTTCACAAATTATTTTAATAAAACCTTGTAGGGCAAAATAAACAATATTCATAGAGCCAAATTTGGCACATATGTTAAGAATACATATATAATAAATGGGCAAGAATTTTTGTCCAGGGTCTTCAAGAATGTGGGGAGGGAGGGGAGTGTAGGATAAATAAAAATGTGTCATTAAATTTTGATTGTGAGTTGGAGGGATTACTAAGGGGAGTATCCTCTTAGACAATATACATAGTTAGCATCTATTTTATAATTGAATTGTTTTAAATTCTAGTCATCAGATGTATTTCACTATTGTTGGCTTTGGGGAGGGTTGAGGTGGGGGTCTGTGAGTCTAGTAGGTAAAATTGACCGTTAAAGAATAACGTAAGCAAAGTATAAGAGCTTGTCATATGAATTTAATAATAATAAGCATCTAATAATTGTAAAACTTGTATGAAATAAAAAAAAATATATAATGTTACATGTAGATTAGGAAGGCAGGAATTAAAATTGTTATTGAGCTTCACAAAAGTGAAAGCTATTTAGATAGAAAATGGATAGATTGTTTTTATAAACATTTTTTTAATCTTGCTAAGCTAATTAATGTTTTATTTGAAGAGTAAATATATCAATTATTGTTATAAAAAGGATAAAAATGCATCACTTTTTCATTAATTATTTTTATGTACGCTATGGTATATGTTATCTCGTAGATAAATAGTCGCATTGAAAAAAAAGCTTTGGTGTATATCTATTTGATTAGGGAGCAAACAGTAATGTTGGGTAATTATATTTTTAGTCATTTAAGCCAATTTTAAAACGTTTAAAAAATTAGCAAAACAAGCTAAAGCTAGTTTCTAACTTAATCTTAATGGGCCTCGGGGTATTTTTAAATATATAGCAGCTCAGATTTGAAAGAAACTAATATAAATTAAAATGAGTTGAATTTAACATATTTTCGCCGTGACAGTAGATGAAGACACTAACCGAAATTTAGTCATTATCCAACCATAGTACACCATGGATGTAGGGGGGGGGGGGGTTACTGGGACTAAGACCTTCCTAATTTTTCCTATTTAGCCTCCTTCCTAAATTTTGAGGAGGGGCTGAGCTCCCTTGATAAAAAATTAAAATTTTTTCAAAAGTGTTAAATTTTTAAGAATTAATAGATAGTCATGAAACTTTTCCACATTTCTAATAGCCACATAGAAGATAGAGAAACCAAGAGGTTTTTTTTTATATATTTAATATGAATTATTTAAAGTATGAGGTTCACCGTAAATAAATAGTGATGATAAATAGTTTTATAATTAATCGGGTCTGAACCAACTATAAAAAAGCTAAACCGAATTTTTAAGCGAAAACTATAATCTTGATCTCGATCGAGGTTTAAACCTATATGGATAGCTCAATCTTGAGAAAAATTTTCTGGCTCAAGGGGAATTTTTTTTTACTGTTCTTAATATTGAGACTTTACAATACTAAAGACAAGAAATAGTCCAAATTTAAAAAAATTCTAAATGTTTAATTAGTTATTTAAGTTTGAAAATTAGTTGTTAATTTTGGGATTAATTAATTTACTTTGAAGGAAATAATAATTGGATTATTTTTTAGCAGATCATACATTATATTTGTTATTCACTGATATTTCAAATAAAAAAAATAGGAATAGGTTGAAAATAATAAAATATTATGTAGACGGAGTTTACATTACAGGAAATTTATTGGAGGTAAACCCTTTCCAAAATCTACTAATACATCTTTTGAAGCTTTGGCCAGATTAAATTTTTATAATTTTAGTCATTATTTTTAAATTATTAGATTGTTATTTTGAAAAAAATATATACATTATGTTCTAATGAATGACATTCTTATTATTTGGGAAGAAGAGTCAGGGAGATACTAGGAATTTTTTTTATAATGATATTTACAAAAAAAGGAGATGGGAACTCTCCTTTAATGATAAAAATATTTTTTTTTAAAGTAATAATTATGGGGTATGACTAAATACTGTCTTGCTAAAAAGCAATTAATCATAATTAATCATAATTTGATGATATAATATCTTTTAAAAAAAATTTCAAAATCATTTTTTTTATTTTACATAAATCAATTTTTAATTAATTAAAAAATTGATATTAAATACCAAATAATTTAAAATTCTATTTTTACTTAATATTATTGGAAAAATAATATATTCATAGCTTATTACAACTTATATTATATTTTTCAATTACAAAATTTAACAGATTTATATCCATAAGAGGGCGTTAAATAACTAAATATGAAAATATATTCTATGGAAACCAGAATAAATATTGGATAGCGCTTTTTTTGTATTTGGGTGTAAATACATGTGAAAAACCTAAAATAGAGGTTTCTTTGAGATTTAATTAATGAGTAGGTTTAGAAGCGAAAAATAGTAGAAAGTTTGTAAGGAACATATTGCAGGCGTTATTGATCAAAATCTCTTCATTTTTGGTTTATACGTGTATATTTAGGTGTTAAACATTATCCTAAAAAATATTTTGAAAATATTATGATTTGACCGAATGCCGGGCTTAAAACCGACCAATTATTAAATATTCGATCGACCAAATTTGGTGTTAATATTATTTGGAAAATATTCATTTTTGGTTTATTTATCTATAAATACGTACAAATCATTATCCCAAAAAATATTTTAAAAATATGGCGATTTGACCGATAACCGATTTGAAACCGAAATACTGTCTTGCTGGCGTTATACATAGAAAATTCTTCATTTTTGGTTTACACGTGAACAATAACGTGTTAAGCATTATCCTAATTAATATTTTCAAAATATTATGATTTGACCGAATAGCGAGCTCAAAACCGACCACTTACTAAATATTCGATCTACCAAATTTGATAGTAATATTATTTGAAAAATGTTCATTTTTCGTTAATTTATCTATAAATACGTGCAAATCATTATCCCAAAAAATATTTTAAAAATACCGTGATTTGACCGATAACCGATTTGAAACCGAAATACTGTCTTGCTGGCGTTATACATAGAAAATTCTTCATTTTTGGTTTACACGTGAACAATAACGTGTTAAGCATTATCCTAATTAATATTTTGAAAATATTATGATTTGACCGAATGGCGAGCTCAAAACAGACCACTTACTAAATATTCGATCTACCAAATTTGGTATTAATATTATTTGAAAAATGTTCATTTTTCGTTAATTTATCTATAAATACGTGCAAATCATTATCCCAAAAAATATTTTCAAAATACCGTGATTTGACCGATAACCGATTTGAAACCGAAATACTGTCTTGCTGGCGTTATACATAGAAAATCTCTTCATTTTCGGTTCATACGTGAACAATAACGTGTTAAACATTATCTTAAAAAATATTTTGATAATATTATGATTTGACATAATGCCGAGCTTAAACCCGACGTATTACTAAATATTCGATCGACCAAATTTGGTGTTAATATTATTTGGGAAATATTCATTTTTAGTTAATTTATCTATAAATACGTGCAAATCATTATCCCAAAAAATATTTTAAAAATATCGTGATTTGACCAAAAACCGATTTGAAACCAGCCCAATGACTAAATACTGTCTTGCTGGCGTTATACATTGAAAATTCTTTATTTTTGGTCGTGAACAATAACGTGTTAAGCATTATCCTAATTAATATTTTGAAAATATTATGATTTGACCGAATGGCGAGCTCAAAACCGACGACTTACTAAATATTCGATCTACCAAATTTGGTAGTAATATTATTTAGAAAATGTTCATTTTTGGTTTAAATATCTGTATATACGTGTAAATCATTATCCCAAAAAATATTTTAAAAATATCGTGATTTGACCGATAACCGATTTGAAACCGAAATACTGTCTTGCTGGCGTTATACATAGAAAATTCTTCATTTTTGGTTTACACGTGAACAATAACGTGTTAAGTATTATCCTAATTAATATTTTGAAAATATTATGATTTGACCGAATGGCGAGCTCAAAACCGACCACTTACTAAATATTCGATATACCAAATTTGGTAGTAATATTATTTGAAAAATGTTCATTTTTCGTTAATTTATCTATAAATACGTGCAAATCATTATCCCAAAAAATATTTTAAAAATACCGTGATTTGACCGATAACCGATTTGAAACCGAAATACTGTCTTGCTGGCGTTCTTCATAGAAAATCTCTTCATTTTTGGTTTACACGTGAACAATAACGTGTTAAGCATTATCCTAATTAATATTTTGAAAATATTATGATTTGACCGAATGGCGAGCTCAAAACCGACTACTTACTAAATATTCGATCTACCAAATTTGGTAGTAATATTATTTGAAAAATGTTCATTTTTCGTTAATTTATCTATAAATACGTGCAAATCATTATCCCAAAAAATATTTTAAAAATACCGTGATTTGACCGATAACCGATTTGAAACCGAAATACTGTCTTGCTGGTGTTATACATAGAAAAATTTTCATTTTTGGTTTACACGTGAACAATAACGTGTTAAGCATTATCCTAATTAATTTTTTGAAAATATTATGATTTGACCGAATGGCGAGCTCAAAACCTACGACTTACTAAATATTCGATCTACCAAATTTGGTAGTAATATTATTTGGAAAATGTTCATATTTGGTTTAAATATCTGTATATACGTGTAAATCATTATCCCAAAAAATATTTTAAAAATATCGTGATTTGACCGATAACCGATTTGAAACCGAAATACTGTCTTGCTGGTTATACATAGAAAATTTTTCATTTTTGGTTTACACGTGAACAATAACGTGTTAAGCATTATCCTAATTAATTTTTTGAAAATATTATGATTTGACCGAATGGCGAGCTCAAAACCTACGACTTACTAAATATTCGATCTACCAAATTTGGTAGTAATATTATTTGGAAAATGTTCATATTTGGTTTAAATATCTGTATATACGTGTAAATCATTATCCCAAAAAATATTTTAAAAATATCGTGATTTGACCGATAACCGATTTGAAACCGAAATACTGTCTTGCTGGCGTTATACATACAAAATTCTTCATTTTTGGTTTATACGTGAACAATAACGTGTTAAGCATTATCCTAATTAATTTTTTGAAAATATTATGATTTGACCGAATGGCGAGCTCAAAACCGACCACTTACTAAATATTCGATCTACCAAATTTGGTAGTAATATTATTTGGAAAATGTTCATTTTTGGTTAATTTGAAACCGAAATACTGCGTTGCTGGCGCTCTCCATGTAGAATTCTTCATTTTTGGTTTATAAGTTAACAATAAGGGGTTAAGCATTATCCTAAATTATTTTTATTTATACCTATAAAATCAAATTTAAATTATACATTCTCTTCCCCAATAAATGATATAAGCAGTAATTATGATAATAAATCTTTTAAGGAATCGCATGAATCTACATCTATAAAATCAAATTTGAATAATATAAAATTTTCCCCAATTAATGATAATAAATATACTAATAATCATTCACTAATTTTTCAATAAAAAACATTTTATCATCAAACTCTTCACAAAATAAAAATTTTTTACCATGCGATAGTAGTGATATCATTTTAATAAATTCATTTATCGAGACTACAC